TATGAACTTTAGACTTTCTTCATTTTGTTTTCACCTTTTTTCTGAGTGATCCCTTTCCAAAGAAGTATCCAGGTATTTGAACTCAATCTCATTCATTCTGTCTTCCATTAATTTTATTTTACTCCTTTGCCCTTTCAATGTGTTACCTAGTTCTGAAAATTTAGTTTTAATCTTCTGAATTTCTATCTTAGAGTTTGTATCATTTCTAATTTTCATTTATTTTGTCATTTTGTTCTTGTATTGTCTTTAAAAATTGTTCTAGGGTTTTTTCTGTTTTCCTTAATTTTGTCTGTGTTTTCATTGATCTCTCAATTCTTTGAAGATACCTAAATATAATTCTTTTGAATTCCTTATTGGGAGTTCCAATGCTGCTTCTTCCTCAGGGATGTGTTCTGGGTCTGTATCTACTACTTTATCTTGCTTCTTTGTGTGGACTGTGATGGTCTGCTGTCTCCAAGACATTGTGACATTTCTGTATTTAGATCTCTGTTAAATGTTTGTGAAGAGCAGTTTGGGGGGCATCAGGCTCTTCTTGGTGGTCATTTATCGTTGGCTAGTTAGCTGGTAGAGAAGGAAGTGGTGGATCTCACTCAGGAAAACTGCAGGAGGTGTGGGTGTAGTTGTGTGGTATGGGCTATGTTGCTGTCTCCCACTTAGTTAAACAAAAATAACAATCAGATAACCATGAAAAAAGTGGACAAAGAACTCATTATGTAAGCATACAGGAATAATAATGAAAGAAAAGGAAAAAAAAACCACAATATCTGAGAAGAGGGCAATAAGAGAAAAAAGGCACAGTAGGAGAATAATGAATAAAAAAAAGGGAAAAATGCCAAAAGAAAACAAGGAATTGGGTTAACCATGAGAAAGAAAAAGATGGGAACCAGGAAAAGGGAAGAAAGAAAAAAAAAAAGCTGAAAACTAGAACCTTTCCGGTCATTGGTGTGCGGGATGTCCTGTGGTTCCTGGCAAGTGGAGACTATGCTTAAGTCTTTGAAATTTGGGAGAATGCTGTTGCTTTAAATATCCAAAATGGTCGAACAGTTTGTAAACATTCAAAATAGCTGCAACCTCCGGACAGGCAAAAGTCCACAGCTCAGCCTGCTTTAACTCTTTCCTGGTTCCCCTTTTATTCACCAGTGACCAGTGCAGTCCTCCATGTAGCCCCTGGGTAGTAGGGCTGATTTTTAGGTTAATTCTTAGGTCATAACCTCACTCAGCAATATCCAAGCTGCCTGTGTTGTCAGGATTGCTGATAGGCTGCAGCTCTGTGTGTCATCTTTTTTGGTGTTTTCATGCAATTTCTACTAGTTGGAGTTTAGTCCATTTCTATATCCTTTCCTTCAGGACTCCAGGATTATCTTCTGTATCTGTGTTAATTGGTTCCCCTTTTCTGTGTATCTGTCTGCCTATTCCACCATTTTACCAGAAGTTTCCTCAAATGTTTATTTTAGGGTCACGTGTAAGATAGGAGCTCTGGTGGTGCAATGGTTAAAGCACTTGGCTCTGAATCAAGAGGTTGGTGGTTTAAAACACAACAGCTGCTCTGCAAGAGAAAGATGAGGCTGTCTGCTTAGAGATTTACAGTCTTAGAAACCCAACCAGCAGTTCTACTCTATCCCAGAGAGCTGCTATGAGTCGAAGATTGACTCGATGGCAGTCGGTTTATTTGTAAGACAGGAATCATAACTAGCAGTTTACATTATGTGAGTATTACTAAGTTAAGAGACAGAAAAAATGCTTGGACCCATGCATATTGCACAGCAAGTCATAAATGAGTATCTACCATTACTACTATACTCAGTGGAGTGTTCCACTCTAGTATATCAACACCTACACCTACTGCCAGGCCTCCATGCCTGATATCAGGAAAGCTTAATTAGTGAAAAACTAGGTTATCTAGCAAGCATGGCACAAAAGAGAAATGAACTAGGTCACTAAAACTGTTCTTTAAAAGGTTATCCCCAACTATATGACCAAAATGTATAAACATTCTGGATTTCCTGTCTCTCCTTCTTGGACAATACTAGACAAACATTGCCAAATATTTGCTTATCACATTCCCCTTTTCTGTTAAGTTCCAGGCATAATAGCTTATACTCCTTCTGTGGCCTAAATTTGGTTATAGCTTCATTTGTTACCAACAGTAGATTTTCAACTTGAGAAGCTGATATAATGTAATATCTACTGAAAGATTTCCTCTGAAATCCTACCAAAAAACAGTGGACAGAATAAAGAAAATAGGCAAATGGAGTGATAACTAATTTAGCAGATTGAAGAAAACGTAATCCTAAACTGGGAGAAGCAGGAAAGATGAGAAACCACCTGATTTACATTTAATAAACACCAGAAGATTGAGGAACTAGTAGCAATAGACATCACTGGAGCAAAAGCAGGGGTGGTGGTGTAAATATGAGTGTGGTGGTAGTGTAAAAGAGGGGCTAAAGAGAGGACTGACTGAAAGTCTAAGAAATAGACCTTCAGAGTCCTTTCAACCCTTATCTACATGAGCAAACTGCTCCTCCTTACTCTGGCATAGTTTTCGATTTTTTGGAAGAAGGTAGAACAGATTCTCTGGGCAGGCAGGAAACCAGCAGAGTTGAGGAGGTTAAGTTTATACACATACTGAGATCATCGGCTTCCCCTACTCAGCTTGAAGACATAGTGCTGAGTGAAATAAGTCAATCACAAAAGGCCAAATCCTGTACGACCTCATTTATATAAAAAACAATACTCTGGACCTTGAATTAGAAAGGTGAAAAAGCAATGGAGCCCTCCAACTAGAAGCTAGAAGACATGGAGTAAGGCCCTCAAAAATCTAGATACTCAACTTACAATTAAAACCTTTTCTAGATATGCAAGGTCTCAGCAAGTTTACCTCCCATGTACCCTTTTCTAAAAGCGCTGATGGTACAAGTGCTCAAGTGCAAATCCAGCTACTTTCCGTGGGAGAAAGTTGTTGCAGTCTGCTCTGGTAGCGTAGTGCCTAAGGCACTTGACTGCTAATCAGAAGGCTGGCGGTTCAAACCCACCAGCCACTCCCTGGAAGGAAGATGGGGCAATCTATTTCCGTAGTGATACTGCCTCGAAAATTCAAGGAGGGGTCGCTATAAGTCAGGTCTGACTCGACGGCACATAACAACAACAGCAACATAGCCTTGGATACCATACAGAGTAGGTCTACTCTATCCTACAGGGTCACCAGGAGTCAGAATTGGCTCAAGAGCAATGGGTTTTGTTACCTTTTTCACAGGTAGTTAACAAAGAAATATGCTTCAACAAAACAAGAAATAAACCAAGAAAAAATAAGATACAGCCTAGAAAACAGGAGTTTCAAGACCAGGGAAAGGCAAAATGAATATCCAAAACAATGGTGAAGGGAGATTCTCAGACAACAGTGGTGCAGCAGGCCTAGAGAAGACAGTCCACAAGGAACAACAGGTCAATTGTTGTTACTTGCTGTTGAGTCATTTTTGACTCATGGCAACCCCATGAGATGAAAGACAGAACTGTGTTCCATACGGTTTTCAAGGCCTGACTATTCAGAACCACATCAGTAAGTCTGTGTTTTGAGGTACCTGAGCAGCTGTGAACTACCAACTCCTTTGGCCCGTAGCTGAGCACTTCATTTTTGTGCCACCCAAAAACTCCAGAGAACAGGTCAGAAGGCTCAAGTATTTAAAGTATTTGACACGTATCAAGAGCTGGTTTACACAGTATGAGATAAGTTTGGGGTTTGATTGGTGTTAAGTAATAGGCAAATAAAACAACTCTTACTGAACAGTAATGACTCTCATGAGTTGCAAAAACTCGGATCCTATCTTGGACTATGATGATGAACAAACCAGTTCTATTATTCTAAGAGATTATTCAGTCAGCCAACTGATATAATTTCTCTGGATATCATTTAGTTTGATCCCCTATTTTGGGGGAGGTCTGGTACCATAGTATCTAAGGCACTGGACTGCTAACCACAAGGCTGGGGGTTCAAACCCACCAGCCACTCCTCGGGAGAAAGGTTGGGCAATCTACTTCTGTAGTGATACCGCCTCGGAAACCCAAGGAGGGGTCACTATGAGTCGGGTCCGAATCTATGGCACTTAACAACAACAACAATTTCTGAAACAATTTTTCTCTACAAAAGTAATATAGTCACATTCACTTGTCAAAACTCAATGCCATGCATGATGTATTCTTACCAAAAATAAAATCCGAATCTGATCTAACTACAGTTTGTACCATCAAGTTATATGAATATAAAAAACTAAACTCACTGCCCTCAAGTCGGATGCGACTCATAGGCGACCCATCCTTGGGTTTCCAAGGCGTTATCACTATTTAAGTAGACTGCCCAGTCTTCCTTCCAAGGAGTGGCTGGTGGGTTTGAACCACTAGCCTTTTGGTTAGCAGTCATGTGCCTTAGGCACTATGCCAATATAGGAGGTAGAAAAGTAATAAATATCATCCAGGAATATAAATAACCTAATCTAAAATGTGCAAAATTTTATATGACAACTAAATGAAGGAGGGAAAATTATTATAGATTAAGAGTTTTAAGAGACCTATCAACTAAATGCAATATAAGGACTATGTTGGATCTTGATTCGAACAAATCAACTGTAAAAGAATTTCAATGTTAATTGGAAATTAGATTATTTTTAAGGAATTACTATTAATTTTTCCTAGGCTTGAAAATGACATCATAATTATGATTTTAAAATAGTCCTAATCAAAAATAAAAATAGTCCTTATCACTTAGAGATGCATACTTAACTACTTAAGGATGAAATGATAGGATGTCTAGGATACATCATGATGTCTAGGATGCTTTAACATAATCTAGCAGGAAACGGATACAGATGCAACAAAATCAGTCATTTGTCAATTGCTAAAGCTGGGTAACGGGTACACTGCATTTCGTTACAGTAGTCTCTCTACTACTGTATGTGTATTTAATCATTTTCATAATGAATAGTTTTAGAAAATTCAATACAACCTACCACTGGGTAGTCGAAGAGAAGACCATACATCCTGAGCTCCCCAGTCTGGTGTCAGGGGTGGACAGCTGATAACTGGATATGCAGTGTTACCAGACATCACTGGTCCCAAGCCATTGCTTCTGCCTGCTACTGCCACAAATACAGTAGGAATGCCATCTCCTAGGTAAATGACAAGTTAATAATTATGCTAAACATTAGAGAGATTTAAAGAGAGGTTTTATTTATTTTTTTTAAAAAGGCCTATGTTTCATTCCTTGAGTTCCTTTAGTTGTCATCTCTGGAAAAAGCATAAGATAAACATTATTATTATGTACATATTTAACATATAAGGTCCACTCTGCCATTTAAATCAAATAACAAAGTAACTAGAATAGGTTTAGCCATATTCAAGAGCTATGCAACAAATGAGATGTCGGGTTTTGGTAAGTAAATGGGTCACAGGTCCCTTTTACTATTGCTGCTTATGTTCACCAAATCAAGAGTGACATCAGCTGAACAGGTGGTTTTTCCATGTCGGGTTGTCTTTCAACCAACAAGGTACAGGGAGACCTAGTTAATATAGACTTAGGGGTATTTCTTGAAATAGTAGATAAAGGCAAATTTAATTACTCAAAATATGTAAGACCTCATGATGTATTTTCTAAGGAGCTCTGGTGGTGAAGTGGTTAAGGCATTTGGCTGTCAACCAAAAGGTCAGTGGTTTGAACCCACCAGCTGTTCCACAGAAGAAAAGATGAGGCATTCTGCCTCCATACAGATACACAGCCTTAGAAACCCTATGGTGGTCACTATGACTCAGAATGGACTTGATGACATTATGTTTGGTTTAGTTGGTTGATATCTTTTCTAACATATTTCTTAAACATTTCATTCTTTGATGCAATTAGTAAATTAATCTTTTCTTTCCTTAAGAAAAGATTGTTAATCTGGAATCTAAATTTTTATGTATTTTTCTGGTGAGTTCTAGCTTTCAATAGCTTATCAAAGGGACCTGAGATCTTTTTGTCTCCACACCAAATTAATAACTACTCTTCTATAGCAATTACCTTTAGAAAGAAAACTCACTGAACATTTTCTTCTAGTTGAGAAAAGCACATGAATATTTTGGTTGTACCTCCAGGCCTCCATTTATTTAGATCAATGCCAACCCATCAAGACCTTTCTTTTACGTACTACATCCTGAAAATATTCCTTAATTTCATGTGTGATTGCCTCTGAGCAGAGGCTGGCCATTAACGATACTTGAAATATTCACTGTTTCAACCTCAAAACCAAAAAGCCAAACTCACTGCCATCGAGTCAATTCGACTCATAGCGATCCCTCCTTGGGTTTCTGAGGCGGTATCTCTATGGAAATAGGTTGCCCAATCTTCCTTCCCAGGAGTAGCTGGTGGGTTTGAACCGCCAGCCTTCTGGTTATTAGTCAAATGCCTTAGGCACTATGCCACCAGAGCTCCCTCAGACTTCTCATAATTGGCATGGGGCCTATTTTCTGCTGGAGCATGTAAGAAACAACACTTGAGGGGCTTCTTATCAGGTAAAAGCAAGAGGTTCTCCTAAGTCTAGTCTTTTTTCCTCCCTCCTGGCTTGAATTTTTAGTTTTTTCTCCCCATTTCTTTCTTTTATAAGCTGTTGTACATCACTTTAAACTCTTTGGAAATGCCATAAAAGCTTAGCATATCACATTTTTTCCCCTGGAAATGTGTCAAAATTCCTCTTCATATTAGTCTAGAACAAAAATTTTTGACAAAATGAGAACTCCCTGAAATGCTCTGGTTATGTGAAGTTTACCCTCGTATTCAGCTTTAATCCTCAGAGTTTCATCTGGTCCTTTATGGGCAGACGTTACCCGAAGTTCACATGGAATGCCAAAATTTCCACAAGCCTTTTTGATTTTTTCACAGTGACAGAGATCAGAGGTTGAGCCCATCAATACTACAACCCTGCAATGACTCTCTGATTTCAGAAGCAACTGTTAAGAAAAACAGGAACATGAAAAAGAAGATAAAGAGAAAAATAAACAGGAATGAGTACTGTAAGAACACTCAAAGAGCTATATATAGTAAAATTATAACTAGACAGAGTATTTTCTTTCTTAAGAGATCAAATTTAAGACAGAGATAAACAGAATAAAATAACATAGGATTTGTTTTGAAAAGTACTCTCTACACTCTAAGTGGCCTTCATAATTAAGGCCTAAATAATATTTTAAATTATTTTTTAGTATAATAAAAAGTAAGGATAAATATTCAAACTTATATTTTAGTATTCAGAAAATTATAAATTATTTTATCTTAAGATTTTTAGTACATTCTGCTTAGTGCAATTTTTTTTTTTTTAGTGTATGACAATGTTTACTTTTTAGTGCTCATTTTTAACTTTACAAATAAATGATAACAAAACCTCCTATGTCTGTCAAGCGTGGTCTGTGTTATCTTTATGCATAGAGTTTTAAACCAGATGTCTTAGTGGAGGTTTTAAATCCTATATAGCCAAATTAGAGAGGTCATATTAAAATTCCTTTTAAATTAATTGCTTAGAACTCAAAATGTATATTCCCACAGAAATAATGTTCTAAAAGGTGGTTATACTTGGATAACCACAAGTCTTCTTCAACTCCCATAGAATTATATTAATACCATAAACTCTGAAGTAGCATTTTAAAGTCACATGGAGTTGCACTTCTGAATATAAGAATCCATCCCATGCTATTGGAATTCTGGAGTAGCAGCAGAGAGGCTGGTAAGAAGTAAGGTTTCTTCCAGCAGGGACAAAGAGGAAATAAAGATTCCAGGTTTCCCCAGTAAGATTTGGGAGAGTTTATTGGCTAGCTAACGAGCAGAGCGTTCCAGTATACCAATGAGGAAAAGCCGCGTTATTTTCAATTGCCTCCTATGCATGCAAAAGCTGGACAATGACTAAGGGAGACTGAAGAAGAAAAATTGATGCCTTTGAATTATGGTATTGGTGAAGAATATGGAATATACCATGGACTGCTAGAAGAATGAACAAGTCTATCTTGGAAGATATACAACTGGAATGTTCGCTGGCAGCCAGAATGGCTCTGGTCATGTTTATCAGAAGGGACCAGTAGCTGGAGGGTATCATGCTTGCTAAAGGAGAAGGTCAGTGAAAAAGAGGAAGACCCTCGATGAGATGGACTGACACAGTGGCTGCAATGCTGGGCTTAAGGACTGCCAACAACTGTGAGGATGGCACAGGACTGGGCAGTGATTCTTTCTGTTCTATGTAGGGTTGCTATGAGTCAGAAATGACTCAACAGCAACAAACTAACAACAGTGAAGACAGTCCAGCTGGGACATTTCTTAAAGGTGTTCCTTTCTTTCAACTCACCGAAATAAAGAAAAGCAATAAACCCACTACATTAGTTTTCTGAAACAGAAGATACTCTTTGAATAAAAACATACAATACCGTGTAGATTTATTACCAATAGTTTACCTCTACTCGCTCTGCAACCCATTCAAAATTTTTCTTTACCATCTGCAGCCCTTCAGGAGTTACTTCTTTGAGGTCACGATATGACTAGAAAATAAGATAGAAAAATTAGGATACAATTATGTCTTGCTATCTGAATCGATGTGGTTTCAAACTTTTGGGAAGGGATTACCAAGAGCTTGGATATCAAACACCAGATATCTGAAGATGTATCTGAATCTAACAAATTCATTTTCTGAATTAGACTAAAGAAATTTTAGATAATGAGGTATACATGTATTTTCATTTAATTGCGAGTGCTTTTCACACTAGCAAATACAATGAACTCCCTAGAGAATTCTTGTATGTTAAATATAAAGACAGTCTTACTTTACTGATTTTTCTAAGAAAAGAAATGAAACATAGTAACAGCCAGAAGTTTTGGAGTAGAATCCCAAGTCTGCCACTTATTCTTCTAATTGTGAAGAATACTTATCCTCACAGACCCACCTTAGATTTCACTGAGAAAAATGAGGATAATAGTTGGTCTGTTACTGTTATGAAAGTCTATTAAGATAATGGATAAGATCTATGCTATTTGATTTTAAAATATTATTCCTCTCTCTCCTACCTCAAGATACAGAAGATATTTATTCTTAAAAATAAATAGTAATCAATAAATCAGGTTCATATCATAGGAAAGAATAATTGTCTTTTCTTTTCCTCTTATTCCCTCATTCATCACTAACCAAGGCTGATCTGTGTAGGATACAAAACCTGAAGCATCACCTGTTTATCTTTCTGTTGGCTTCGATCTCCTGATGGCCACAGTCTCCAAGAATCATTATCAATAACATCAGCAAGAACAATTTCTTTCGTGGTGACATCAACACCAAATTCAATCTAGAAACAACAAATCACCTAAGAAAAGTTTTTAAAACGTACACTACTGAAGACATTTCTCAGTTATACTCTTTACTTTCATATCTCTGTTTTACTTATACCTTCATATCAACCAATGTACAGTTCTGGGGCAACCAAGACTTCTCCAGTATTTCAAAAACAGCCTGTGTGGCATGACTCATGATATCCACTTCAGTCTGCCCTATAACAAGACCAGCACAGCAAAATTTTGCAGCAATCAGCTGTTCCAAAGACCACTGTGGATCATTACTGGCATCATCCTGAGAATAAAGTATAAAATTATAATTAAAAGTAAAATTGTTGAACTTGTTAGAAAAACAAGTAATTTTAAACTCTAAGTTCTGAATTCCTTACATATATTTTCTCTAAAGAGGTTTAAAATACCCTATAATTCAAAGGAATTACCTTTGATTTGCCTACTCTCAAAAGCTACTTTAAAATTCAACTTTTAAGTAACTAACTTATCCTATGTCATAAAGTATTTGAAATAATTTTCCCTCTTGCAATACATCAATTTAAATACCATTTAAATTTGTGGTTTCTATTTCTCCTTACTGTTGTTGTTACATGTCATCAAGTTGGTTCTGACTCACAAAGACCCTATGTACAACAGAAGGAAACACTGCCTGGTCCTGCCAATCTGTCTTTTTGAAGGTCGTCGTCTTTTTTGCAGACCCTCTAGTTTACCAACCATGAGGTCCTTCTCCAGGGACTGCTCCCTCCTGATAACATACTCAAAGCACAAGAGACGAAGTTTCACCATCCTCACTTCTAAGGAGCATTCTGGTTGTACTTTTTCCACGACAAGTTAGTTCGTTCTTCCAGCAGTCAAAGGTATTGTCAGTATTTATCGGCAACACCATTATTCAAAGGCGTTGATTCTTCTCCAGTCTTCCTTATTCACTATCCAGATCTCACATGCATTCGAGGCAACTGAAAACGGACAGCTTGGGTCAAGTGTACCTTAGTGTTCAATGTGACATCTTTTTGCTTTTTAACACTTTAAAGAGGTCTTTGGCAGCACATTTGCTCAATACAATGCATGGATTGATTTCTTGACTGCTGTTTCCAGGGGTGCTGATTATGATCCAAGTAAAATTAAACCCCCGACAACTTCAATCTTTTCTCCATTTAACGTGATGTTATTAATTGATCCTGCTGTGAGAATTTTTCTTTTCTTTATATTAAGGTGTGATACCTACTGAAGGCTGTAGTCTTTGATCTTCATCAGTAAGTGCTTCAAGTCTTCTTCACTTTCAGCAAGCAAGGTTGCATCACAGATTGTTATAAGTCTTCCTCCAATTCTGATATCACATTATTCTTCATACAGTCCAGCTTCTCAGATTATCTGCTTAGAAACATTTTGGATAAGTATGATGAAAAGATACAACTCTGATACACACACCATTCCAGATTTTAAACCATGCACTATCCTTTTGTTCTCTTGGAATGACCGCCTCTTCAGCTATGCATGGTTTCTACAATTCCATAATTTGGTATGATCCACACAGCTGAATGCTTTTCCAAAGTCAAGAAAACACAGGTAAACATCTTTCTGGTATTCTCTGCTTTCAGCTATGACCCATCTGGCAACAGCAATTTCCCTGGTTCCACATTCTCTTCTTAATCCTATTTGGATTTAGAACCAAGCAATGTGAATTCTTTGACAACTTCAATCTTTTCCCCATTCATTGTGATGCTGCTTACAGGTCCAGTTGTAAGAAGTTTTGTTTTCTTTATATTGAGATGTAATCCATACTACAGACTGTAGTCTTCAATCTTCATCAGTTAAGTTCTTCAAGTCATCCTCATTTTCAGCAAGCAAAGTTGTGTCATCACTGTTATCACTTGTTGTTGGTGAGCCTTCTCCCAATCCTGATGCCATGTTCTTCTTCATATAGTCCAGCTTCTCAGATTATTTGGTCAGCATATAGATTGAGTACATATGATGAAGGATACAACCCCAAAGCACTCCCTTCTTGATTTTAAACCATGCAGTGTCTCCTTTTTCTGTTCAAATGACAGTCTCCTAGTCTATGTACAGGTTCCTCATGAGTACAATTAAGTGTTCTGGAATTCCTATTCTTCTGAATGTTATCCATAATTTGTTATGATCTACACAATCAAATGCTTTTGCATAGTCAGTACAACACAAGTAAACATCTTTCTGGTATTCTTTGCTTTCAGCTAAGATCCATCTGACAACAGCAATGATATCCCTTGGTCCACGTCCTCTTCTGAATCCAGCTTGCATTTCTGGAAGTTCCCTGTCAATATACTGCTGCAGCTGTTTTTGAATTATCTTCAGTAAGATCTTACTTGCATGCAATATTAATATTGTTCCATAATTTCCACATTCTGAGGGATCAACTCTCTTTGGAATGGGCACAAATATGGATCTCTTCCAGTCAGTTGCTCTTCCAAATCTCTCGGCATAACCGAGTAAGTGGCTCCAGTGGGATAGCTGTTTGTTGAAACATCTCAATGGGTATTCTGTCAGTTCCTGGAGCCTTGTTCTTTGCCAATTCCTTCAGTGCAGCTTTGACTTCTTCCTTTAATAACATTGGTTCTTGAACATATGCCACCTGCTGAAATGGATGAGGATCGACCATTTCTTTCTGGTACAGTGACTGTGTGTATTCCTTCCTGCATCATTCATTATTTTGTCCATAGAATCTTTCAATATTGTGACTCGAGGCTTAAATTTTTTCCGCAGTTCTTTCTGCTTGAGAAATGCTGAGTGTGTTCTTCCCTTTTGGTTTTCTAACTCCATGTCTTTGCACATTTCATTATAGTCACTGGCTTTGTCTGCTCAAGCTGCTCTTTGAAATCTTCTATTTAGCCCTTTTATCTTGTCATTTCTTCTTATGGAAGAAATAGCTTTAGCTACTCTCTGTTCAAAGGCAAGTTTCACAGTCTCCTCTGACATCCATTTTGGTCTTTTCTCCTTTTCTTGTCTTTTTAATGACCTCCTGCTTTCCTCATGGATGATGTTCTTGATGTCATCCCACAATTCTTCTGGTTTTCGGTCAATGGCATTCAATGCATCAAATCTATTCTTTAGATTGTCTCGAAATTCAGGAGGGATATATTCAAGATCATATTTTGGCTCTTATGGACCTGTTTTCATTGTCTTCAACTTCAACTTGAACTTGCATATGAACAATTGATGGTCTGTACCACAATCAGCTCATGGCCTTGTTTTGGCTGAAGATACTGAGCTTTTTCCATTGCCTCTTGCCACAGCTGTAGTCAATCTGATCCTGTGTATTCCATCCGGTGAAGTCCATATGTATAGACCACCGTTTGTGTTGTTGATAAAAGGTATTTGCAATGAATAAGTCATTGGTCTTGCAAAATGTTATCATGCGATCTCCAACATTACTTCTTTTACCAAGGCCAAATTTTCCAACTACTGGTGATTCTTCTTTGTTTCCAACTTTTGCATCCCAGTCATCAGTGATAATTAACATATCTTGATTGCATGTTCAGTCAATTTCAGATTGCAGAAGTTGTTAAAAATCTTCAATTTCCTCATCTTTGGCTTTGGTGGCTGGTGCACATATTTGAATAATAGTCGTATTAACTGATCTTCCTCGTAGGTGTATGGATATTATCCTATCACTGACAGCATTGTACTTCACAACAGATCTTGAAACATCCTTTGTGATGATGAATGCCATGCCATTACTCTTCAAATTGTCATTCCCAGCATAGATCATGTTATCTGATTCAAGATGGCCCAAACCAGTCCATTTCAGCTCACTAATGCCTGGGATATCAATCTTTATGCGTTCCATTTCATTTTTGACAACTTCTAAATTTCCTAGATTCATACTTCGTACGTCCCATGTTCCTGTTAACGGATATTAATATGAACACTTGGTTATGCAAATGACTGATTAAAAGGCAACAATACCTTTGCTCAGTAGAAGAAATATGCTTAACATCTTAAAAGAAAACAAATAAATACTCATAAGCACTGATTCCTATTTCTTTTAAAAGATACAAGAATCTTCTAACAAGGAACTTGCAGCTTTTTCTTTTAATTGTGATTTTGGTGACAGTTTATAGAGCTTAATTGGTTTTCCATTGAACAACTCATACACATTTTGTTTTGTAACATTCATTCCAATTCCCACTTGAATTCATTCAACTCTTCCTACTTTCTCCCTGTGTTTCACCCTTCTTCTCTCCTTAGCTTTATCCCCTGGGCAAATGCTGCCCTTTTGATGTTGTACGGTTTACTGTTTAAATGAGTGCATACCTTCCTGCTATTATTGTTCACTTTATAGGCCTATTGGTTGGCTGAAAGTTGTGCCATAGGGGTTGAGTTCAATTCCCATCTTAAAGGGTTTGTAAGTACTTTGATTTGTATCTCTTTAATAGCTAATGATTGTGAGCATCTTTTCATGTGTTTATTAGCCATCTAAATGTCTTCTTTGATGAAGTGTCCATGCCCTTGGCCTATTTTTTAATTGGATTGCCATTTTGTTGTTGAAGTGTTAAAGTTTTCTATAAATTTCAGTGATTAGTTCTGTCCTGTATGTCATTGCCAAATTTTTTTTCCCCGTCTGTATGTTCCCTTTTTACTCTTTGGGCAAAGTGTTTTCATACACATAAATGTTTAATTTTTAGGAGGTTCCAGTCGTCTAGTTTGCCTTCTGTTGGTTTGTGTATTTTTTGTTATGTTTGATAGTGTATTTATGCCATGTATTCAAGCCTCTACATTTGCCCCTATTTTTTCTCTGATGATCTTTATGGCTTTAGGTTTATATTTAGGTCTTTGATCCATCTTGAGTTACTTTTCCTATATGGTGAGACATATGGATCCTGTTTCATTTTTCTGCAAATGGATATCCAGTTTGCCAGCACTATTTGTTAAAGAGACTATCTCTTCCCCATTCAGTTTCAGCCCTTTGTCAAAGACCAAAGACCAGCTGTCCACAGGTGGGTAGATTTACGTCTGGGTTCTTTACTCTGTTCCACTGTTCTATGTGTCAACTACCAGTACCAGACTGTTTTAACTACTGTGGCTATATGGTAGGCTTTGCGATCAGGGCCTATTTCATTTTTCATTGCATATATTTTTTATTTTAAGTGACATTGATACTGCAATTTTCCTGTATTGTAATTCACTGAGATCTTTTATACTAACCTTTGCTTTAAACTTTTCAACAGTAAATTTTATGAGATTTTGAATTGTTATTTTTCTTTCCTAATAATTCCTAATTTTAATTTGTTCACTTTGCTAGTCATATTAGTCTAAAGATAAGTAGCTTTTTGCATTAGTTTTCTTTTAAAAACCTGATTTATCCATTTCTGAAAGAAGTATACATCATTAATGTGAATTTCTGAGATTACATTTGGTAATATCAAACATATTAAAAATACTTAATCTTTTGATTTTGTAATTTTAAGTACATTATCATAAAACACAGACTCATAAAACTGTTACCTTGAAAAACAGCTCCACTTTAGGTGGGTAAAACTTATATCCTTCCTTGACACCAGGGTTTCTTTTGAGAAAGGAACCAGTTGCTATTCTTCTACAAACCCATTCAATTGGAATCATTTCACACTGGGGTGCAATGAAAGCTGTCTCCCCACATTTTCTGGTGAAAGCAGTTTTGATGCCTACATATTGATGATGAAATTAAAAGAAAGCAATATAATTTCATTTAAAAAGGTACATGAGAAGTATAATAAAACTCTACCCTTTACAAAAAGTAAAACTTTTATGTAGCCAAATGAATTACCCGTAAATGATACTTTCAAAAGTAAAATGTTTAATATTTAAAAGGTGAAAAGTAGGAAAACAAAATTATTAATATTGCTTTCTATTGCACATCAAATTTATTAAAGAATATTTCATTTTCATGTTGTATAGCAAAAGATATACTGGATCAGAAAATCTGGGTCCCAGTACCTTTACCATTCATTCATTCAAGAAATACTTAGTAGGTTCTGCTTGTGATGTTGTGGTTGAGGCATCCAGCTAAGAACTAAAAGGTCAGCAGGTTCGTATTGACCAGCTATTCCACAGGAGAAAGACGTGGGTGTCTGTTTCTGTAGATTTACAGCCTTGGAAACCCTATGAAGAAGTTCTACTTTGTCCTAGAGTGTCATTTTGAGTTGGAATCCACTTGATGCAGATTTTTTTTTTTTTTTTGCCACTGAGTATAAAACTTTGCAAAAAGCAAGTAACTTACCTAAGTGGCACTAAATTATTTCTAAATCTAACTTAGTTCCAGAATTCTTGAGTTCTACAGCCATTATATGAGCCATACAGAGTATTAATGTACTTATTAGAACTATGAATCACAGAACAGGTTTAACTTTTGAATAGCATTTTCTCTTAATGTTTAATGCAAACAGTCCTTTTAAAAAATCTTTTAATGGTATTGGGAGGAACATGGTGGCCAAAAAGTATCTGTCTATGCTCTCCATTCTCTCTGACTCATATTACTGGAAAACTAACATGGACACACAGACTTGTGATGTTTGGAATAGAAGCTATCTGATGATCTGATGTGGTGGTCTGAAAAATCACTCTCTCTCTAATAACAGTTAACATGTATCAAGTACCTTACTTCATGTCAAGTACTTTTCTAAGCATTATCATTATGTTTGTAAACAAAGCCATGCTATAGAATTAGCATAAATTAAAACACGTCCCAGAAACCTTCATGAATTTAACCTAACAATGCTCATCTTTAGCTTGCAGTATTAGTTGTTTCCAACCTCAATCTAATCCTATAATCTAACGCCAACTTTTTCTTACCATGAAAGGATTGAGAAATTTTTGAACTTACATATTATCTATATACAAATGGACCTATGTTTCCAGAATCCCTAGACTGTGCTAGGTGTTTTACATGTCATCTCATTTAACCTCATATAAAATGTTGTGGTAGCTATTATTTCACTTAGAATGCCTGGATGATGCAAACGGTTAATATGCTTGGCTATTAACCAAAGCTGGAGATCTGAGACCACCTAGTACTTACAATGACTATGCAAGACTAGTCTTCAGTGTGGATTACACCTTAACATAAAGAAAACAAAAATCCTCACAACTGGACCAATAAACATCATGATAAATGGAGAAAAGATTGAAGTTGTCAAAAACTCATATGGCACTGGGCAAATCTGCTGCAAGAGACCTCTTTAAAGTGTCAAAGAGCAAAGATGTTAGTTGAATACTAAGGTGCCCCAACCAAAGCCATGGTATTTTCAAGCACCTCAGATGCAAGTGAAAACTGGATTAACGAGTAAGGAAAAACAAAAAGAAATGATGCCTTTGAATTGTGGTGCTGGCAAAGAAAATACTATGGACTGCAAGAAGAATGACCAATTCTGTCCTAGAAGAAACAAAACCAGAGTGCACCTTACAAGCGAGAATGGCCAGACTTTGTCTCACCTACTTTGATCATCGTATTGTCAAAGGGGACCAGTCCTTAGAGAATGACATCATGCTCGGTAAAGTGCAGCATAAGAGAAAAAGGGGACGATCCTCAAAAAGATCAACACAGTGGCTACAACGAAGGGTTCAAGTACAGCAAGGATTGGGAGGACGCCATAGGACCAGACAGTATTTTGTTCTGTTGTACACAAGACTGCTGAGTCAGAACTGACTCAATGGCACTCAACAACATAGGTGAGTCAGGTGATAGGCCTAACAATCTACTTCTGAAAAATCAGCTACTGAAAATCCTATGGAGCACAAGGGTGTCTGACACACATGGGGTGTCACTGTGAGTTAACTAATAGCAACTGGTTTTGTTTTTATATTTTACAGTGAAAGCAGTAGTGGCTTAAAGTAAAGTAATTTCACAATGATAGATCATGCTGCCAATTGGTAATGGACTCTGACTTGACATGGCTTCAAGAGTCCTTTCTTAGATCTGATAACCATTAAACATTTTTCCTCATTTGTCTACCAAGTTTGAGCACCAAGGATCTATTTCTATTATTTTAATGTAAACAAGTTACTTTTATTCAAAGTGCTTTTACCATTGTTCCACCAGGGCTCCTATTTAATTGTTAGGAACTACATAAGGCTTAGTAGGATTCCTAGCATGTCCTGTAAACTAATTTGTTTAAGAATTTTGAAAACTTAGGTTTTCCTTAATTTCACACTGCTACGTTTAAAACCTGTATTAACACCTTTCAACATTATCTGTGAACCAAGTACGTTTCAGTTGGTTAAATGTGCCAGATACAGTGATTTAAACATACTTATTGGCATATTCACCCAAGTTGACCAACTGTCCCAGTTTGCCTAGGATACATACAAGGTCTCTGAATTAAAACTTGGAAAGTACTAGACAGAGGTGACTTGAGTCATCTGTCCTCAACCCCAGAAAGTACACTGACTTGTATTTTATGTATAAACAAATAAAAAGTATCTTCAACTACTTAATAGTGTGTGCACGTATTTGTGAATGCATCCACATAATCCCAAAGCTAAGAATAACTAATAATAAATTGGTTAAAATGAATTTTTTAAATTGTTACTATTTTAAAAGGTAAATTAACCTTTAAAATTTTTTAACGGGGGAAAGGGAGATAATGTGGGAGATATAAAAAATGGACCAGACATTCATCTGGTGGTCCACTCATTTGGTTTGATGCTCTCTAGAAGTCTACTCAGTCACCGAGAAACCACCACTCAAGGAGGTCATGAAATAAAAAATACTGGGTCCTGTGACTTAGGAACTAAAGGGGCTTTAAATACATAATAATACATTCACTTTCAAAACATAGGGATTTCTGACATGGATGACGATTCAAATCTGCAACTACACTAAAATAAAAATGTGAAAAGGGATATTCTTCCCCCTGCCTCTTTTGCTCCACATGTCCTCTATACAATGTCCTTCTAATCTGAATTTAGTCTTTCAATCAGACTTCTCAATTGGAAACAGTCTTCATTCAGATCTTTGACCTAGTCCAAACCCCTAACTTGGAGAATGGAAGGAGAGAAGATGAGGTTGGTTATTGTCAAATACTTTTCAGGGTTTTCAAGAGAAAAGATTTGAAATCCTGTGTCTCCAAAGAGCAAACGTTAGGGAGTAAATTTCAGTTCATCAATTAGAGTTACCAAAAACAAACGGGCTTCCTTTACAGGTAAACTCCTTAAGACTGAAGATGTCCTAGAGCAGGGAAGTTGCAGAAGGGATATAGAGAAAACAGTCTTTACCTGGTGAAAACTGCTACAATACCTTTCAACCAAATGACACGACTGCTAATTGCAAAAGAAGCAAAACTTACAGTGTTAAGAGTTCTTTTGGTTCAAGTAAACCAAGCTTGTAAATTATCCCCAAACAGCATGTTGTTAATCCAAATAATGCCACCTCCCTGTGAATGAGACCAAGTATGTTTGTCCATGCACGAGAGAGAAGAGGGAAGGAAGAAGGTATGGGGAAGGAAGTAGGAAGAAAAGAATAGGTAGCCACTTACCTGCTTCCTGTAATAACTGAAAAATACAACTGGTAATTTTATTAGAAATTGCAGCTTTTCCTTCTAAGTGATTCTTTCTAGCTGCATTTCCTGCTGTAATCTGGTCCTTGGACTGCAGAAGAACTTTTCCTGGACTATCTAACAATTCATAGACTTCTTTTGTTTTACCCTCATACAGTTTTATACCAATGTTGAGTACTGTGGAAATAAAACGGAAATACATCAAATTTCAGGATAAAATTCTCTGAAGGTTGAAGCTTAAATCGTATACAATGATTAATCAGTGAACATCCAGAGTGATTAATAATCTTACTCATCTGTTTAGAACCTTATATTCTACAAAGTATTTTTACATACATCATCACATTCAACTCACATAATTTTGGGAAGAATTTTAATTATATAATTTAAAGATATCAGAAAACAAAATATCAAAAAGGTTGAAGTCATGAAGTTAGATAAAGTCAGAATCGACCAAATTCCTAAGTCTTCTGCTATCAAATTCTGTGCCCTTTCCACTATCAACCTGCCTCTCTTACAACAGAACTAAAACACACCAAACGAATGGAAGTACAGTAGTATTTTCATATATACACTCACAATACAATATCCAAATTGTTGTTGTTGTTGTGTGCTGTCGAGTCAGTCCTGACTCATAGCAACCCCTCCTTGGGTTTTCGAGGCAGTAGATATCCAAATTAGCTTGCTGCAAAAAGATACTGTTTTTTTCCCCAACTTCTGCTTCCCATGGAAGGCAAACTGGAAGTTCATTCAGATGGGCTACTTGATTTCAAGTTAATGTACAAAAGAAGGCACTGCCTGCCTATTAGAAGTGTGCCCTCCCCTCACATTTCTTAAATCATGCTGCCAACATTAACCCTTTCTCTTCACTGATAGATTTAGGCAATAGGGATAATTTTGATACAGGTCCTAAGACCTAGTGAAAAGTAGCTTCTGAGTCATTAAAAAGAATTAGGTAAGATCAAAGGTAACAGAAATTTAAGTACTTACAATTTTCAAGGAGAGAAATCACCTCTTACGTTCCCATAACACTGATTCATTGTCAGTATCGACATTTTTTGTGTGCACACTGTCAAGTACTGGGGATATACCAGAAACCATGCCCTAGTTCCTGTCCTCAAAGGACCTGAGTCTGAGGAAAGTGGGTATTAATGATTGCCTTACTGATTATACATTAATAAGTACAACTCAAAATATACAGACTTTGATATCACATGTCCATAGCAGGGCCACCTGACCTAGTATGGACTTCTGAGAAAGAACTCTACAAGGTGGAGATCCCAAGAATGATCAAAGTTACCCAGTAGAGGGAAAGGAGGTGGTAGTTAATAAAAACCAGGGGGTGAAAGATATATGACAGAACGTTAGTATAGCAGGAGCACTGGAGAACCAGATATGCATACATTGCTGTTGGGCAGGGGAAGGAAGGCAACAGCTAAAGAGGAAAAAAGACTGGAACAGCAAGAGTTAAGACTGAAAAGCTGAGCTTAGGTCAAATCACCATGTTCAATGGTGACAACCATTAAACATGCTAGTTATAATTCAGTTTAATGTTGTTGTTGTTGTTATGTGCCGTCGAGTCGGACCCAACCCATAGCGACCCCTCCTCGAGTTTCCGAGGCACTATCACTATGGAAGTAGATTGCCCCATCTTCCTTCCAAGGAGTGGCTGGTGGGTTTGAACCGCCAGCCTTCCAGTTAGCAGTCAAGTGCCTTAGCCACTATGCTACCAGAGCTCGCAATTCAGTTTAATAATGCAGTTTAATACTTTCCATCGCAAGTTACCTAACTTTGAGACCCTCAATGAATCTCCACACTCTTAAATGTGGTGTCCAGACTTATTAACAAGGTTTAAAAGACCCTTCAGGATACAGCTTCAACTTAGTACCCCAAACTCATATTCTTCTACTACATCCCTAGAGCTCCAATTTCCTTACCGAATTTCTAGATCCCCTTTCCAGGGCTCTGGACATGCTCTTCCCTATGCGTGGGACACTGTTCCCTTCCCTTCTACAACCACACTCATCCTTCAGGCCTCAATAAGCCATAATGATTGAGTTTAGGTTTTATCCTAAGAGCAACTGTGGGGCTTTTAAACACTGAAGTAAAATGACAGAATTGTATTTTGGAAAGATCATCATGTGATCTTTGTGTGGAGCACGAAGTGAAGAAAGGATGGGTGGAATAAAACTATAATTTAGGACACTAGTTAGGATGCTGTTGCAGCAATCTAGGCAATAAATGCCCCAGTCTGAGGAAAAGAGCAAGGAGCCCTGGTGACACAATGGTTAAGTACCTGGCTGCTAACGAAATGGTCAGTGGTTCAAACTCACCCAGCAGCTCCATAGGAGAAAAGACCTGGTGATCTGCTCCCCTAAAGACTGCAGCTTAGCAAACACTATGGGACTGTTCTACTCTGTCATACAGGGTTGCTATGAGCCAAAATTTGACTGCACAGCATAGAGCAGTAAGGAACGAGCAGAAGGCAGACTAACGAATAGTTAAAAGGAAAAAGCTTTAAGAACTTGGCAAGTGATTCAAGATATAAGGGTAAAGTCAAGAATGCTACACAGGATAAAGAAATAAAAAGTTAAATATGTTAAAGTGAAATAAAGCCTACACAAAAGAAAGTATGTACCTACTCTTCCCCTCCTACAAATTTAGTTCAACTAGTCATTTATTATGCGGTTGTTAAATAGAGTAGGAATTTCAATTAATGGATAAAAATAGTGTGAGAAACAGTCATAGCATATGCTACAAGTGCCAAAATGATGAGTATAAACTCATAGATGAATTGAGAAAAGATTGATGAAGACTGCGAATGGTCCACAATGTTGAAATTTAAGAGTCTTGAACTTCCAAAGTCAAAAAACATTCTAGGACTGCGGTGTCCAGTAAGGCAGTCAATAGCCACTTGCGACTATGGAACACCTGAAATGTGGGTACTCAAAATTGAGAATGTAATGTAAGTATGCATAAAACATACATTTTCAAAGACTTGATACAAAAAAAAAAGCAAAGTATCTCAATAGAGATAAAGTAAGTTAAAATTCATTTCACTAGTTTCTATTTTTAACTGCTAGTAGGAAAAAAGTTAAGATATGAGGCTCACATTATATTTCTATTAGATATATAATAATGTTTCTTGGAGAAATAACAAAAATAGAAGAGGATGAAACTTTGATGAATTAACCTGACTAGAAGAACATAGGCTTAGGATTCTCAATAGGAAAAAGTGAATGGCTTACAGCCATTCATATGTAAGATTTGGAGGAAAGTGGCTTCAAAATGGATTTTAACAGCTCTTAGGATGTCACTGAGCATTTCTGAGCAAGAAAGTGCATTTTAGAAACATAAAAGTGACATTTTAGAAAGATTAACCTACCAAAGATACACAAGCTGAAAGAATGTAGAAGAGTAAAGATTTTATCAGCCTATCTTCGATCCATATGCTTAGCAAATAATCCAAGAAGCTGAATTATATGAAGAACGTGGCATTAGAATTGGAGGAAGACTAATAACCTACAATAAATATCTAGATGACACAAACCTTGCTTGCTAAATGTGAAGATGACTTGAAGCACTTACTGATGAAGATCAAATACTACAACCTTCAGTATGGTTTACAATGCCAACATAAAACAAAAATCCTCACAACTGGACCAAAAAGCAAAATTATGACCAACAGAGAAAATACTAAAGTTGTCAAGGATTTCATTTTATTTGGATCCACAATCAACAGCCATGAAAACAGTAGTCAAAAAATAAAACAATATATTACACTGGGCAAATTTGCTGAAAAAGACCTCTTTAAAATGTTAAAGAGGGGGAGCGGAAGATGGCGGACTAGATAGAAGGACTGCACAGACCCTCTTCAACAAAGAAAAGGAAAACCAATTGACACAGACACAGAAGTTATTCTTGGACCCCTGAGCCTTGAAGAGAAGGATTCAGAAGTAGACTAAACCCCAACTAGCAGAAGAATTTGCGTGAAAATACC